GAACACCACTGTTCAGCCAACAGGAGAGCTCAGTCAGTGGGCAGCAGACACTTTGCTTTTATGTACGCCCACACAAACTGAAGCTTCATCTGCAACTATCTGAGCACCAGTGGCTTATAGATACAGCTGCAGCTACTGTCATTGAAATCTGAGACTGACGGGGTGAAAGGGGTGCACATGTTTTTACATCTTATTTTTCAAGTTTCATCCTTAGTGCAGGTGCAGGAAGTTTGAAGTCCTGTTACCTCCTTTTCTCTTTTCCTTTCTATTTGAACGTGTTACTGTAAGATTTTTCTACCACTGGAATGCAGAGATGTCTTAATTTCTTTAAAACCTTTAGGGATTGAGCCCTGCAGGAGTAAGTTTAGGAGACAGGAAATATATTCTACAGAAACTCATTCACTCACTTTGCCAGAATCTGCAGAGATGACAGCAGCACTGTGCATGGCATGTTTCCATGTCTTCCTTATTGATTGATTGATTGATTGATTGATTATTAGATCATACTTTTTTCAGACAAAGTTTTTTCATTTGTCTTGCGTTACAGAAGTTCAATGTCTTCAATTAAACAAGTAATTCAATCAATCAATCAATCAATCAATCACTATTGTAAGCAGACAGGGACACAGTCTTCGGGAGAACAAGGGGAGGCTGCATCTGCGTTCACATAAACGTTCTCGGCAGGGATGTGGGACTGAGATGATGTCGCCACTTTGAGTCATAATATCTCAAATATTTGTCAAATGTGCAAATATGCAAGATCTTACTTTCCAGATTTTTCATCAGCATTCATAAAATGTTCTCTTATTCTGACTTTTTTCTTTTCCTCAGCTCCTCGTGAGTTTTAACAGCATAGGTCCAATTATCAATTGTTTAATGATGTCAATAACATGTGCTTCTAAGTGCAAAGTTACTTGACACATTTCATGAGACTAATTCATTCTTTCATCTTTTTTTTAAATTTCATTTTGTGTCCATCAAGGCAACCACTGTGGGCAAAATGTTTCCTCTTATCCACATGCTGACCCTGCCCTTTATATGCATTGATATTACTCTGTAACACAATAAATCCTCCATCTTTTAAATGCCAAACATATCACTTATTATAAGTCTTTTCCACAGAGGATACTGATAAAAGGGGTCACATACATTAAAAAAGAACAAAATAGAAATAATCAATCTTGTTTGCTTTGCAGGTCATTGAGAGTCATCAGCATTCATTTCAGTCTGTTTTATAAACAAAACAAAAAAACTACACTCAGGAGCTTTAAAGGAAATCTCATGGGCGTTCCCCACAGTATCAGCTCGTCAAGTCTGTCGGATATTTCCAGACATGTTTATGTGCTGGAACAGTTTACTGTAAGGGTTCAGCATCGAGGGAACTGACTCATCTCTAACTCTTTCCGCTGGCTGATGTGTATCTTTTTGTGCTATTACGTTTCATGTTGTTAGTTGTATTATGATTTAGATTCTTCGGTTTATGTGTTTTTGGGGCTACATACTCAGACCTGATCTTTTTATGATGTTTCTTTGTTTTACTAAAGGTTTCAGATTATCTGACCATCAGAGTCCATCAGTAGACTTTGAACAAGGCTGCATGCAACGCTGTAATCCAACAGTATTTTACTAACAGCTAACATTAAAGTACATATTTCTAAAATGTTGCTGTACGGTTGTTCCCATTTGGGATCTTATTTTTAATTGTAGCATTTAATTAACATTTTAAAGTATTGTTTTATTGTGAGGGTGTTGTGAAGCCGGTTGTCATTAACTGCTATAAAGATAAACTTGTTTGGAGGTGTGATGAATCAGCAAATAAAATAAAATAGTTTAAAAACAGCAGCTTTAAAAGTTAAACATTATGGATTAAAATTTCAGCTTTGGCCGACTGATATAAAAAAGGCTTTAATGTTTTTTTGGGGATTGTGCCCCACATTCACACCTGTGAGCTCAGTAACCTCCTGCTCACGACCTCCTTATTGTCTGGTTTGTATTTCAGCAGCTGATTGTGTGCTGACGACGACACCCTGAAGAAGGCTGTTCGTGCTGCTAGTGGGTTTTAACTTTTTTTTTTTAAATGTCTGTGATGAAATACCCAATTTAACAAAGGCTTTGTATACATCTTTTTCAGCAGAGAAGAGTGCCTTTGTATTTGTATTTGATAATGAAGGAATACTGCAGTGGCATTAATACTCTTTCATACTCGTCTAAAAACTTAAATTCAACAAACAAAAAAATAATAATCACCATAATCTGCCATTAATACAAACGTATCTCTTATTACAGCCTGGCTGCAACAATCGGACAGCTTTGCTTAACCTATTCATAAAACATTTTAAATTGGGGATTTCATTTAGTCTCATATCAGCTATTGTCGACATAAAGCCGAAGTCTTCAAAATAAAATGGATATCTTAAGCTCATTTTTTTAAACCAAAAATGTTTCAGTTGAACGTCAGCAGTAACTTTTTGGGACCTGATGTGATATATGTGGTGGCAGA